TTTCCCTAAGTAGTTGCTAGACCTTCTGATTGTACTGGGCTTTATTCAACAATTTCTATGTGTGCCTATAATTTCATCAATTTCCCTTCGTTTTTTTTATTTTTTTTATTTTTTCTGCAGGATGTAGAGGGTATGATGCCGATCTCTGTTGAGGCTGCTGAGGCACGTAATTCCTTGAATGATGACAAGGAACTTATAAACACCTATGAGGTTGAGATTATTTGTATGCTTATCTGATTTAATCTAATGACAAAATATCTGCTTCTGAACTTGTATCAATTCTAGAGATTGACTGCACTGGATGGTAATGACGATTTGCATTAGCAGCTGCTTCATCTCATGAAGAAGAGGTTGGTCGGTTGAGAACAGGTTTCCAGTATTCTTCCGAGTTTAGCAATTCGGAATTCCATAGATTCTCTAAATCAATGAAGGGTCTAATTGGTCGAATAAAGGTCTCCGTTGCTATTTGATCTGGTGTTATTAATAAAATGGTATAAGGTACGGAAAAAAAGGGATTGAATAGTTTGTGTAGTAAATCTACTCCAGCTTTGCATTTCGGCTCCGCCATTGTGTATATCTGTTTCAATAGTGTGTCCGCCTCGTCATTTGAAGAGGATAGTTGGTAATCTATGTGACATAATTTTAGTGTGCAATCTTTGCATGAAGCTCTTCACTATTTTAAACTTCAATCAAATAGTTTCGAAATACTTTGTTGATAATTTGGTTAGTTTATCTTCTTGGAATCAAGTGATAAATGTGTCATTTTCTTTCATGTAATTGTGGCTCTGCTAAGTGCATGAATGCAAATATAACACTTAACCTACGGAAATATCAGAGTATATGCATTCTCTTGGATACATATGCTTTACGATTGGATAAAGTTCTTTGCGCCTTTAAAATTAAGCAGTGTTGTTACATCTTTATGATGCGCTAGCTGCTATTTTTCACTGTCAATACTTTGAAGATATAGATCGAACTTGGGAGACATTTGAAAAGACACTATGGGGTCATATCTCGAATTTTTTTCAAACTTGCTAAGGAAAGGTAATCTTGTTCTAGCTTCTAAGGCTTTGCTCTTCCTGAAATGCCCTTTGCCTTTCCTTTTTCTTTTTTAAACTTCAGTGTTTATAGGTGGTACTTGAGCAACTTCCATTTTACTGAATTTATAAACTTCAGCTTGCATAACATTCCACGTCTGTATGATGCCTAGCTTGTAGTAACTGTGAATACATATGCTTTTGTCCTCTGATCAATTGTTATATGATTGGTCTTTGCAGCCCGCAAACACTAGTTCGTGCACTGAGGTTTGTCTAATCCAAATGGGATGATACCACTTGTTTGAGGCTGGTTCATTTAGGTACTTATGCATCTCTCTGATTCTTAACTTCATCATGAAAAGGGTTGTTGAGATTTGTTAATCGAGTGGGTTCATTTTTGTGCAATATAGGAAATCTACGATTTCAATGGCATCTTCCAGAAATCTTACGCCGCAAAAACTGAAGGTTCAAGGTAAAGGCTTCAAGGATAAATGTTATGAGGAAATAAGGAAGTCTGTTGAAGCACGGTTCAGCCGATTGCTCAGCGAGGCCTGTGCTTTATTCTGCTTCTGATAAATGACACTAGTTTATCATTTATGGTTTCTTTTATCATATTCATTTATGGATGTTATGGTTTTCAGCTTGTATTTGAGGATCTTAAAGGAGCTTTACAGGAGGCTAAAATATAGCACACATCAAAATGGACCAATTGTTTGCTCCATAGAATAATTGTTTTATAGATTTTGGGTTACCACAACGAGCACTACAAGAAAATGTTGAAATTCCAAAGGAAATATATTCCTCCAACGGCAATTCTAATGGACATTCTAATAGTATTATATTCGTTGAAATTTTCCAATACATTGCAATTAAAATTCCAACATAATTATTCCGTTAGAATGAGTTTTTCATTGGAGTTTCGTTGAGTTTTTACGATCCCGACGATATATTTTCAATGGTTGAGATATAAATGTAAATAAAAATTCCAACAGAAATTCATATTGTAATAAACGCAAGAACAATAGTAATTGGGATTATCAAATTCCATCAGAAATTTGAATGGAAAATTAATTCCAACAAAATATGTCAGTTGGAATTTCTATTGTAATTATTCTGACAGAAGTTATACCATTAAAATATTTATTAGAATTTTCACTAGAAATATTACCGGTAAGATTTTTTATTATAATATGACACTTTCTTTTATAGAAGTTAATGTAATAAATTACCATCCTAAAAAAAATAAAAACAACAAAAATTAGGACGAAATTATTTTACATTTTTCTGCCCACACTATATACTAGTATTTGTTTCTTGCACATATGCACAAATATTTAAATTATTATAACTTATAAGTTACATGTATGTGATAATTATAAAATTGTAAGTTAAATAAAAGTATCACATTTTAAAAATTGTCATTAGTAAAATGAACATCATAAAAATATTAAAATTCATCAATATATTTATTGTGTAAAATAAAATGGATACTCTGAAAAGATAATTAAGGGAAGACCACCTGAGCAAACCGACCGAAGGGAATTTATCCGAACCAAACGATAGCGGCTTAAATCAAAGCCTATCATTAAATTCAATTTTTATAGTGTACAATCTTGCATGAAAAAAATTAATTCGAATGAGCTGGTGTAAAGATTTTTATTACAAAAGATGACTTTTATTATATATATTTTGGGTTGTATCTGTGGCATATCCAATACTTAAGCAATGCTACACGTACAATTGCAATTTACAATATTAGTTGAAAAATATCATTAAATCAAATCTTAATTATACATTCCTTAACATCATGTTGTCATTGAATGTTGTACAAATAAATTTATACAAGTTTCCTAATTATAATTTATATTTACATATTCTAAGTTTCCTAATTATTATTTTCATTTCTTTACTATTAAATTTATATTATTTCACCATAAGATATGTGCCTCATAATTAAAAGCATTCATCTACAATAACAAATAAAACTAACAATAAAATATCAACACAAAACAACAATTAAAAAACGAAACAGATGAAATAATAGCCTAATTTTTTTAACACAATTCAAAATTACATTACATCATAATTAGGTAAAAACCTAATAAATTAATACACCAGGAAAAAAAAACATAAAAAAAAATATGTAAACACACTCACAGCATAGATACGCCTGGAATTCAGACACGGGCTAAAGAACAAAATGAGCCAAAAAAAATAAAATAAAATAAAATAAAATTATTCCAAACCCACCAAAAAACAAACAAACATCGACAAACTGATGATACAAACACACCAACAAGACTAATTTTACACGAAAAAAAAAAATTAAATAATAAATTAAGTGGTGGGGTGGCGCTAATTATTCTGAGGGCCTCTACCGCCGCCGATTTGAGGCTGCGGCGGCGGCCTCCGCGACGCAGCCGCCGTAGCTGGCGGGTCAGCCGCCTTTGACGGCGGTGGGTTGCTGCTGGGCCCATCCTGAGGCTCGGGCCCAAAACCTAGGCACTTGAGCACGGCCCATATGAATTCTTTGCAGCAATTGCATGGGCTGGTTTGACCGGAAAAGGGCTCTTGACCAGCACTATCTGTTGCCTTATTTTGGTTTTCAGATGTTTCTTCTCTCATCTTCTTTTTCTTTTTTTTTTT